AGAGGAGCTTTCAAAACGTTATGAACAGTAGCTATAGTTGTGATTTATTACACTGTGGTTAAATGCCATGTCCCGTCATAACTTCCTGTCTTTACATACATTATTCCACAATTTATACAAGTTGAGCTAATACATTAATCTGTTGTTTTCATAATGGTTTAAATCATTTTTCATGGTTTCAGCATCTGAAAAGCTTCTTCTTTTAAATATTTGAGCCTGAGCGCTGACAGGTTGTTAGAGGTGCAGCTGAATAACACTAATGACCTGCACCAGTAACAGTACAGTCCTGGCAGAGCGCTGCAGAGCCCAGCAGGGGGCGCCACAGTACGATGGCGGCTGGACTCGTGCATTGCAACAGAAACAAGTGTATTCACATTGTGCAGACATGTGTTTCCTCATTGTGTAAAAGACTCCAAACTAAAATCCTTTACCTTGAACACAGTACTGAGTAATTTACAGTGAGGTGCCACAGCACTAATCAACAGTTTGTTTAATCTGTCGGTGTTTCCTTCTCAAGTCAAGATTTTTATTTGCCATTTATGCATAAACAGACAGTCTAGGCATAGAGGAATTCTTGTACAGCTCTCCTTTGGAGTCTGATATTGGAGTTCTCTGATTTTAACTTGAACAACATGACGTCAACATGTCTGCTTTCACCAGCCCACCTGCTGATGAGATCAGCCAATCAGAGCACAGATTAGTTAATGTGCGAGGTAACATTAGCTTTGGCTTGTCATGACATCACTTCAGCTTATGAAACAGCACTAACATGCTAGTTTTATTGTGTCCATATCACAGCTACGAGAACAGGACAGGGCGTCACTGTTTGAAGACTTAAAACTACAGTCAGGTGCTGGCATCAGCTCTGCAGAAGGATTTGCTCCTTTTAATCACTGCTCCTGATCATACTGGCCAAAACAGATCTGTTCTCAGTGGAACAGGTAGGGCACAAAATCCACAGTCCTCGTTCTACACCAAAATACAGTCCAGAGTGCTGAAACCTCACATTAGCTTCAGTTCAACTGTGTTCGGTGTATTTTAAACATGAGGACTGTGGATTTTGTTCTTTATCTCTTCCACTGAAATGGATTGAGCAGGTCTGTTCTGGACTAAAATGACAAACCGTTTCCCAGCAACACATAAAAGCACAACTGAAGTAGAGACAAATGACAAAACTTTTCTCAGCAACACATAAAAGCACAACTGAAGTTAACATGACATTATACAAGTAACATTATTTTAATGTTAACATAACACACACTATCATATTTAAGACATTTTAATATGTTTCAAGGCCTAAAATTCATATATTGTATTTTAGACCCACAGAAACCCTGGGGGTTGATATGTTATGTTCTCTAAAATATCAATATAGCAGTAACACGTGTGTGTGTATGTAACATGTGTGAATAACGTGTGTGTTACCCAGCAGAGCCAGGAACAGGTCACTCTGGAAGATGTTGAGCAGTTTCTCTGCACGACCTTTGACCCCCTCAGCAGCCCCGGCCTGACAGGCCTCCATTACCTGCAGAGCACGCTCAGTATCTGAGGATGACAACCAGCGCAAGCTTTACTGGACTCTACTGAACTTACAGCACTTTCCACACATGATCCTGTGACATGTTTCAGTGTTGGCTCACTCTATACTCAAAAAGAACATCAGCATTACACAGTAAAAATGTCAGCAGAACTAAATATCAATACCAACAGAAAGAACATCAGCAGAACTAAATATCAATACCAACAAAGAAGACACGTGTTCTCAGCTCACTTAGAGGCTGCAGCACTGACAGTCGTCTCTTGTCACTGTGGATCCACTGACACATTTCCAGTTAATAGAGATCACTGTGCTCTTCTCTGATGTCTAACAAGCTGAGGACTCCCATCTGAAGCTAATTCATCTGTGAGTCTTTGGCCCTACAAGCTTGTTGACTTCTCACAGCAGCGGCTGGGAAAGAACCAACTGCTAACGTGCTAGCTAGCAGGAACCTGCTAACACTAGTCAGTAACAATAACTCTGAGTTTCTTGCTGTTTTCCCTGTACCAGACTGTTTTTGTTCCCCTGACTCAGAGTTGAGCTCATAGAAACTTTCCGCTGTTACAAAAAAGAATTATTCAGAATTTCAAGGCCACTAATGTCAATACAAAGTTTTCATCTTTATCCCTTAAGTTTTGGCTTTGAGTTTGTCCAACAGAGAATTTTGCTCCATCTTAGAGGAATATTATTAAGAAACCAACTGAATTCTCAGCAAACATTATTTACACATTTTCACAACCATGAGGTAATGACCTGTACCTGGGGAGGCATAAAATGAGGAAATCAGGATTAATGAATGGGCGGGTCAGAGGTCAAAGGTCAGCAGGGGCTAGAAACAGTTGAACAATGTTACTGGTGACAAGAGAGGGACTGAAGAGCAAGAACTGGCTGACAATGTGGAGGACAAGTAAGGAGTGGACACACAACAAATAGACAAACAGATGTACATGTACAAACACACAATACAACAAAAGACACATTTCATACACAAACACACAATCTGAAACACAGCCTTAATAAAAACATCTCACCTCCTCTTTTCAGCGGCATGTTGTCTCTCTGATCCAGGTAAATCCTCTTTAGGGATTGTACAAACACAAAGCATGCTGGGTAATGAAGTCCTAATCCCTCTACTCCTGTCAGTCAAAGAAATGCCCCGCCCACATCCAGCCTTCAGACCAAAGGATTGGACAATACTGTTACTCTGTTAAATTACCATGCTCTCAGGGGTCTATGTTTGTGATTTAGATCAGTAAATAAACGCACAGTAAAGATTTTTACTCAACCTGTTCAGAAAAAAGAACAACAGCTGAAATCCCAAAGCTTTTATTGCAGCTCTGAGGATCAAGAAGGCTGCTGGAGAAGACATAAGCGAGGACACATGAGAGCATCCGTCATGAAAGTTCTTTATGGACCGCCACGCCCCTCTATAAGAAATCAGTGTGTGATTGGATGCTTCATGTGAAGGATCTTACGTAGGCGGCATTAAGATACAAGGAAAAAACACCAGATGAGGAAATGTGGATGTAGGATACATCCTAAATCTCTTATAGGTGCCGTCGCTTCCTTCACTTGCATCTTTTCCTTATGTTTTACTCCCACCCATGTAAGATGTGTGAGAGAAAGATGTGAGGAGAGAGGACTCAAGGAAACATGTCATTAACAACATGTGACGTCCTTTCCTCAGATCCTTCACCAACTGATTTCTGATAAAGGGGCCTGTTGGTTCACAAAAACACTTCTGCCAAGGATGGTCTCGTGCATCCTCAGTCATGGCTCCTCCAGCACCGTCCTCTGTGCTCAATCCGCGGTCCTCAGAGCCGATATAAGACATTTAGAGGTTGCTACATAGGAGCGATCTTATAAGAGACATGAGACGTACCTGCAGTTAAGGGAATAGGGACTCAGCTCCTACATCCATCTTGTCCTTCCTCATGATGACCTCTGACATTTAGTGACCTGTGTCCTCCTTCTGCAGGTGCGCACCAGCTGCTTTATGGTCTGGTTGTTGCAGCAGGTGAATGAATAAATGTTTACAACTTTTTCTTTTACAACAAAGAATTACAACCCACGTTTGGAAATAGCTGCTGGTAACAATACTATTAAAGCTAAGTCAGCACCACCACCAGCTGCTGATCAGTGGATCACAGTGAAACCATCAGCAGGACTGTTTATTTTACTTTCTGTCCAAGAAACATAGTAAGTAACAATTTAGCCAGTAAAGTCCTGAAAACACTGAAATATTTGGTTTAAGATAGGCCACTGTCTCTGCATGTCCCGCCTTAAGTAGCCCATATAAATATGAAGCTACGGTCAACAGCTGGCCAAGAAATGTTTTTATTCACCTTTGGACAAAGCCAGGCCAACTGTTCCCCCGTTTCCAGACTTTATTCTAATAAACTGCTGGCTGTAGCTTCATATTTACTGTACAGACAGGGACTGGGATCAATCTGAACCTGAACTCTCAGAGGAAAAGACAACGTCAATGTTAAACTGTTCGATGAAGCATATTCAGCTGCAGTCTATTCACTGTGTGGATTGTGTAATTTTAATAACAATTTAAATTATCTGGCTTCTCTCTATCCATTTTTGTGTGTGAATACACTTTTTTAAAATAATTATTCATAATCACAATATAATAGCCTATAAACAGTAGGTCTATCTCCTATGAGCTGAATGTAGTCACTGCAAAGTGTCAGGCGGTGAGATCACGTTAAAGTCTGGTTTGTAGAAGTGATAAGTCCGTCAATAATTTATAGTAAAAAGCCTCGTTAAAACAAACTTTTTCATCTTTAATCAACATATTAACTATTCAGATGAAAATTAATAACATAATTCACTGTGTTAATAATATTTGGACCTCATTTGTGCCTCTCAGGCTTACTTTGTCTTTAAACGAATTTTAAAGTACTTGTGGAATATAATGTTAAACAGTTACATATTCTTAAACTACAAACAGCTAAACGTATAAATATTTGTTTCATAGAACGTGTTGGATGACATTTTAAAAAATAAAAACAGTTTGTGTTACCTGCAAAGCCCAAACCAGGGCAGAAAAGTCCACAAACTCATAGGGAGATAACGAGTTCTTGCTCTGTGTGGAGCTAAAAGAAGCTAGGCGTAAACATCTCAGATAAAACTTTTGCTGAAAATGCTCGCTTTGTCTGTGAGTGCCCATAGCAGTTAGATATTTCCCGTTAGACCGTTATTTTTGCTATTAAATCTTTTATTTCTTCGGTTTCAGGCACTACTAAGGACGCCTCTCTATCGGGCCTTTCTCCCGCCTCCCTGACCCGCAACCAATCAGACAGCTGCTTGAGTCTGACTGGTCTCAACTGGGGAAAGGCAGGAGTTCAGCTGGGTACACCATTGGACCGTTCTGTGGTCGCTCACATTGGTCAGCAGCTGGCTTATAAAATGGCAAGTTTTAGCTAAGGAATACGAGGAGACTTGCGAAGTGAGCTACGTTTTTGTTGGTATATAGTTTTTGTTAACCGCATAACTCATTAACCCACGCGGGAGCACACAGACACGGAGAACTCGGTGGGGATCCACGTTCATGCAAAGACTAGGTTTTTAGGACTGTTTTGGTAGTTGTTTTTCTTTAAGGGTGTGCGTGTGTGTTAGCTCCATGCTAGCTGCTTCCTGTGTTATCCGGACGTGGCTAGATGGAGAAGCTAGCTATTTACTTGTTTGTTACGGTTGGTTTGAATGATTAATGACGGCGCTTCGGGATTGGTGGAGGCAGGGGTATGGGCGGAGCTAAGACGGATTTTTAGCGTAGCACGCACATAAATATAAACAGGTCTAAGAGTCAGAAGTCCGAAGACAACAAGACCTCTGCAGGACACGGTGAGTATGACTGATTTACAGTGATTGATTGGTGATAGACCCCCAATAATGGCCACTTGTGAGTCGGTGCAGTTGTATAAATATGTTTGCTGCATTAAAAATGAGCGTGTTTACACGCACGACATCCGGGTTATGTGCCGCACATGGAAACATCCTAGGTTCAGAAACCTGGATGTTGTCTGTAGTTCTTCAATGCAGACCAGGATCTGTGGCCTGTAATCACCTGGTTTCTGATATTTTGTACTGAACTGGTATGAGATGGTGAGAAATCAAGGTGTACCTGCACGGGTGATCAGAAACCTGGAGGTTTGTTATGATCATGTAAACGGGGAATAGCCAGGTTTCTGGAGTTCCATGTTGACACCATATCTTGAATGTGATCAAATCCAGGATAAGACTCAAAACCAAGATACTAAAGTGAATGTAAACATATCGGGGGAGGCCTCTGAGAGTGTTCATCCTTTGGCATCAGAATAAAATCCTGTGCAGTAGACCTGTGTGCTTCTATATAAGCGAACAGTAAACCTGACACTGCATGGACAAGGACAGTTTTACTATAGCTTGATGTCCAAGATCAGATCCAACATAGAAGTTAAAAATGGGAAGTTAATAAAAACTATTATTTACTATATTCGTAAATGCAATGAGTGCTGCAGCTGATTATTTTTTGCTCAATGTGTAGATCACTGTGATTGGCTGATCTGTTCACAGGTGGAAGATGATCAGGATGTCACTGGACAAAGAAACAGTACTCCCTCATGAGGTGCCCATTAAAGTCAGCCCTGCCTTCCCTGCCACCGTCAGCCTATCAGAGCAACCACAGGTGGCTAAGACCCGTCCCCTCTGTGCTAAAAATGGCCTCCAGCCACCCAGCAACAGCCAGACCCCCCTCAACTCCCCCCGTCCGCCATCTCAGAGAATAGGAAAGAGGCGTTACTCCATGGGCATTGGCTTCAAGGGGCTGGCCAAGCGTCGTCACCATGCCAGCAGTGACTGCCAGTCAGAGCCCGTGCTGCCAAGTCAGTTTCTGTTGGGCGGGAACATCTTCGACCCACTAAACCTGAACTCACTGCTGGATGAGGAAGTCAACAGGTAACGTACTTTGTGGCAGTTTCGGGGACAGGAACGCTGTAGCGACTAGTCCGTCTCCACAGGAAACATTTGACGGCTTCTTAAATGTGAGACTTTAATAACTGTGAAGTGTCTTGGATGTAATGTTAGCGTACATCTGAGCACAAACTTGCTTTAAGTTTAAAGTCGTGAACATCAAACTCTTCTTCTCCTCAGGGCAACCAATCAGGAAACACCAAAGTGCTCACCCCTGCCATCCCGGGGCAGAGACCCCGTAGAGATCCTGGTACCCCGTGATATCACTGATCCCCTGAACCTGAAAGGAGGGAGCAAGGATGGGGAGGGGGGAGGTGGAGTCCTGTTGTCCCCCTTGAAGTCCAGGAGGAGACACAGGAACAGACACCATGGAGGAGGAGGAGGAGAGAAGGAGATGATACCTGCTCGACTGTTTCCCTCCACAGCTGTAACACCTGGATCTGTACTGACTCCTAGTGGACCTTGTAAGAAATACAACTTTTCCTGATCAGACCTGATTCACTGTCAGACCCCAGGGGCCTATTTCAAGAAGGCGGTTTAACAAACTCAGAGCTCAAACCTGAACTCTGAGTTGACTTACCCAGAGTTGGAAAACTTTTCGGTTTCAGAACAGCTGAAAAGAGTTGGTTTAATCAACTCTGAGTTGTTTGACTCAGAGTTAGGCGCGTGCCACGCGACTATAAAAAGCCCTGAACAATGGAGTGAAGAAATTACGAGTCACCATGGCAACAGGACCAAGCCAAAATAGGTCTGCGTTTTTCCCCGACAGAAATGGATGTGCTACTACAAGCATATAGTGACTACGAGCCCATATTTCGTAAAAAAAAAA